TGGGCTCCCGCTCTCCCCCCCTGAGCCGGTGGCTCGCCTGGCGGCACCCTGGCGGCACCTGATGCACGCCCGAAGGGACCCTACCACAGAGCTGTCCGGGGGGAGGTCGCGCAAGGGGCCGCAACTCCGCTCTCATCCTCTACTCCGTCCTGGTCTTCGTGCTTCCAGACGTACTACACCTGGTGCAGCGCGAGGTCCTCCACGGACGCGTCCTCTTCCTCCCCGGGCGGGGCGACGGTCCCGCGGCGCCCGGGCCAGCGGGTGGCGGACCAGCTCCACGCGGATCCGCGAAGGACGGGCACGGCGGCGCCTGCCGCGATGCCCAGCATGTCTGCGCCACGGCGGCCGCTGCAGAGCTCCAGGGGCATCAGCAGCAGACACGCAGCGGCTGGCGCCCGGCGGCTAGCAATAACCAGCACCGCCAGGCGCCAGGCCGTCACCACCCCGTCACGCGGGCGCCTCCGCGGGTCGCGCGGCGCCATGGCCGCGCGCGCGTTGTCTGGGTCCCGGGGGACCCGAGACCCCGGCCTTGGGCCACCTGAAGCCGACCCCCAGCTTGGCCCAGAAAGGCTTAAGCCCCCGCGGGTGAGGCGACATGAATGAATGAATGAAGCCGCGTGTCCGTAGGCACATGAGCAAAGGCACGATCGTGCGCTAGACAATATACTTGCGCACTGCTGCTTTCCAGGCTTCCGCTGAAAAGGCGACAGCGGGGGGAAAAGACTGGCAAGCACCAGCAGGAGCAAGGAGACGGAAGCCCGGCCCCAACTCATCTGGGGGTGTGGCGAGCCATACGTTTACTCAAACATCCTATCGTCGTCGTTGTTGTCGTCGTCGTCATCATCACCTTCATCATCATGCCCCTCACTGCCCGAACTCGACCTCGACGACGACGCTGACGCCGACGCCGACGACGACAGCGACTCCGACGGCGTGGGCGTCGTCAGTACTAACAAGCAACAACATAAAGCAACAACTATCGGAGGTCCACGCGAGTTTCTTCGATCTGCGCTGGACCCCCCTTCCATGGCGCGCGGAGCGCGCCAGTGGCGGCGCTGGCGAAGCCGCCAGGGTACCCAGCGCCGACCCAACAAAAATCCGCGCGGACCTCGAAAATTATGACTCGGAATGTTTGTTCTTCTTCGATCAACGGCGCTCGGCGTCGGCGTCGGGTCATAGGCAACCTCGCGTAAATCCTACCCCTGCAGGTCAGACGTATGAACAATTGGCCGGGCTCAGAGCTCGAATGATATCTGCAGGCATGTGAACCTCAGCAGGGGCGTCCGATAATGCAGAAAGACGATTTATGAACAAAAAAGGGGAACGATTAAAACATACTCCCTTTGGTTCCTATGTGGTTTTTCAACGGGGGGAGTACGATTCAAAAAAATGTCTATTACACGTAGGCGCCGAATATTACGCCGAATACTCATTTCACGTCGTCGTCAAATTTTACGTTACATAATACGTCGACTTCAATTCTACGTCAAATGCCAATTCTACATCGGCTTCAAACTTTTATGCCAAATACTCGTTACACGTCGGCTTCAGTCAGATGCTCATTTGGCTTAGGATTCAAATTTTACGTCAAATGCACCATCCACGTCGACTTTTGAATTTATAATTAAGTTCAATTTCACGTTGGCTTCATATTTTACGTAAACCGACCATTCTACGTCGGCTTTAATCTACCGAGGACGGCAGGGGGGGAACGATTCCAAAAAATGTTTCCCGGCCCGCGGCTGGTTTTTTCTAATCATCCTCCGGGGCGCCGCCGACGCAACACGACCCATGGTCATGTATTAATCGTCATCCTACATTACCGCAGCGTCGACTGCACCCGCAGGGGCAGGGTTCGCAGGTGGCCGCAGATCATCGCTCTGGTCTCTGTCGGCTCGGACCGGTCCGGGCAGCCTCCTCCTGGCGAGGCGCAGCTGCAGAGGAAGCACCCCGAGGCTGCACAAAAACCTCTGGACGCCAACGCAGAGCGCCTGAGGACGACTCGTCGACGCCGAGGAGCGCCCGTGTCGGCGTCGCTGGCGCTCGGCGACAGCCTGCGGCGACGCCGTGCCTTCCGCAGAGAGGGCTGAGGGAGAACGATAGTTAGTGGACGAAGACCGGTACAAATTGGACTGGTCCGCCGTCGGGAATGCCTCTTGCAAAGCGGCTGGAATGTGTACGCGTCCCCGATGGCGGGAAACAATATGTTACACCGCTCTTCGTCCAGTCCATTGCGATAGGGGGGGACGGGTTCAGGGTGGAAGCATCGCCCTGGAATCGGCGACGAATCGCCGACAGATCGGCGGTGTGCCCCCGACTGGCACCGCACGCTGCTGGGCGGGATGGGCTGTCAGGCCCCCCATGGGCGACCACTGGGCGATTGGGAGGTCGATGCGGCACGCCCGGGTCGCGCCGCTGGTCCTGTCCCACTGATTGACGCGGCACGCTAAGCACGTCCCAGGCCACAACCATAACGTTCCGAGCTTTTCCCAGCCTCCCGTCCCACGAACCGTCAAGGACTTGACGACCTCTGCTGTCCTTCGACTCGCGCTGGAGCGTCCACGATGGACTAAATATTCTCTGGGGGAACTCTGGGTCTCCTTCGAGATTTGTCCGGGATCTGCCTCAATTTACCTGCATCTACCTCGACATCCCTGGCCTGATCCCCGCAGGTCGATTGGAGAAAAGTCCGAAAACTCGTCAAGCCCCGAGGGAACGAAGCCCAGCGACTCAGTCGCTCGGGTCACACGAAAGGGGGTGGGGTAAATGAAGGGGTCAGCGCATCAGCTCACGCAGCTGGTTCCCCCTGCGCCTCCCAGCGCCCGAAGTGCCAACGCGTATCGAGGAAAGCGCCCGGCGGCGGGGTCGAAACCGGCTGGATGCAACAGATTTCGGAACCCCACTGTCCTTCAGCAGGCGCATCCCACGCGAGTCTTGCTAGAAAAGCTCGTGGGGCACATTCTTCGTCGAGACTCGAGCTTCCTGAGATGCGCCAAGGCCTCCGTGGGCCCCCCACTCCTTTGGGGGATGCGAAACTTCCGTGGGCCCCCCGAGGGCAGGCCGATTTCGTGCTTGACGTGCCCACTGCCCGCCCCCCCCCCCTTCCATCCTACCCGACCTCGGGGAATGAAGCCCAGCGACACGCTGCATCACCCCCCCCCTTGAGCAGGGACCGACCGCCCCGGCAGTATGGCAGGCCTACAACGGCATGTTTTAAAAACAGAGAACGTCATAATAGTACATACAGTGCTTGTAGAAACTGAAGCCAATGTGTCAAAACAACACGGCCTCGACCAGCAGTGCTATGATGATAGCACGTCGTGCAACCCACAAGAGGCCATCAGGTCAATCTTTGGTGGGCTGGTGAGCACGCCAGGACGCCTCGCCACTGCTTGCCTCTCCTAGAGGAACAAAGCACGGCATTAGCATAAGATTTCGACGGTCCGCGCGAGTTCTTCGATCTGCGCTGGCCCTCCCTCCCTGGTGCGCGGAGCGCGCAAGGGGCGGCGCTCGAAATGCCGCCAGTGGGGGGATCCAAGAAACCCGCGCGGCGTTCCGAAACGTTATGTTTGTGCCGTCTTTCGTTCTCCGATCCTTTCCGCTTGCCTCTGACGAGAGGTGCCCTTCAGCCTCGCCGCGCGCGGGCCGCGGCGCGAGACGCGCGTGGGCGCTCACTCGGGGCTCGCGCTCCTGCCAGCCGCCGGCCGCCGCCGCCCCGCAACCAGGGGTACACACACATATGCACACACACACACATTCACACACACACACACACACATTCACACACACGCACACACGCACATGCATATACACACACACACACTTTTTCGTCGGCGGCTCGGCAAAGTCACTGCACAACGGGAGGAGACGACGAAGCGACGGCCGAAGGGGAGGAAGAAGCGGGCCGGGGCCGCTCAGGAAAACGGGTCGTTCCCATGGGCGCGTGGCGCGGCCGTGAAGCGTTTCGTGGCCCCATAGGGGGCTACACCCAAGGCCCAGTGCCACCGTCCGTATGCGTCCGGGAAATGTAATTTGGCATTTTCACCCGCGCAGTGCAGCGTTCCGTGGCCCCATAGGGGGCTCCACCGAAGCCCCCAATGGGACCGTCCGCATGCGTCCAGGTAACCCAATTTGGCATTCTCACTCACTCAGTAGAGCGCTTCGTGGCCCCAGAGGGAGCTCCACCGAAGCCCTCAATGGGACCGTCCGCATGCGTCCCGGAAACCCAATTCGGCACACCACCCACACAGTACAGCGATCCCCCCCGCCCAGTGCAGCGCTTCGTGGCCCCATAGGGAGCTTCACCGAAGCAGATATTCACAATTACGGTACCCACAACTGCAGATGGTTGGGACCTTCGCCAGGATAATTGTTGTTTGCCGCCGATTCGTCAGGCTCTGCCAGCCGAGGTTGCATGCTGCAATGCTACTGCTGCGTGCTGCCCGTTTGCGATGCCCTGTTCATCACCAGCATTGTCGCCATCCATCGTCACAATCACAATCGCCATCACGCATTGTCACCAGCATCGTCATCACGCATCGTCACCAGCTCTCGAGCGCATCACCAGCATCGACACCATCACAATCATCGCAGTTGTCGTCAGTTGGTTCCCCCGACAACTTCCTTATCCCCCCCTTGTCCCAGACGAGGGCAGGGCGGACTGCCGGTGCAAGCAGCGTGTTGGAGGTCATTGCTGGAACCTCCTTGTTCAGCGGCTGTTTCACCCTTCGTGTTCTTGCGTCCTAAGGGCGTCTTCGGATGATCCTAGGCGGAGTCCAAAACAAAACAAAAAAGGTCGCACAGGTATCCACTACTCCCTGCCCAGGCCCATCCTGAACCCAGCAGCGATGCATACGCCACGCCCTCCTAGCTTGGCCAGGAGGGCGTCCACACAGCTCCTGGGTACAGGAAGTCAGAAGGGCCTGGCCAGGGGGCAGTGGATAGTGTAAAATTTCGTCGCCCGATGAGGGAGGCTCCAGGGAGACTCAGGGTGGTGAGGTGGCCTTTACCGTACTCTGGGGGTCCTGGTAGGTGGAAGCCCCTGGGGGAGGAAGGGCCGCATTTCGCGCGCATGAACAGAACAAATTTCGGGCAAGAACATGTGAAGGCGTCTTCAGCGAGAGCCCTGTTGTGAAACGGAACCGGCCTCCATCCGTGCACAGGGTGTAAGACGAGCGCGCGCAGCGCTGAGGCGAAAACATCTTGAAAAGCAGCTGTGCTCCATCCGCGCACGAGCGAAACATGGCCACCCAAAACGCGGATCGAGAGCCCCCTCGCCGAAGGCCCCGTGCAGATATCCCCAGTGACGAACACTTCGAGGTGGGAAGCCCAAACACGAAGAACACAGTGGCACCCCTCAAAAGCTGGCTGAGGTCATGCTGCTCTTTCGGGCAACCTCTGTCCGATCGCGCCGCCATCCGCGGCGAACCCGCGTCGGATCCGCGTCAACATGTCGACCGTCGGCCCTCCTGCCCAGCCCAAATCCGCTCAAAATCGATCCCCGGACCCCTCCTGGAGTCCACTCCTCCTCCTCCTCCTCCTCCACCTCACCTCCTCCTCCTCCTCCTCCTCCTCCTCCTCGCCCGTCTCCTACTCCTCCTCCTCCTCCTCCTGCTCCTCCTCCTCCTCCTCCTCCTCCTCTTCCTCCCCCTCCTCCTCTGGCCCGTTCTCCGAGGCGGACCTGGCCGTGGCGACGAGAGGCCTCCAGGAGGCCCCCAAAGAAGACCAAACATGCTGGTGAGGCCCGCCGCTGTCTCGACCGAAGGTCTGGGGCAAGAGACCGCCTGAGAGTTGAGCAGGGACCGACCGGGCCAGTGTTCGTGCAAGCATACCACGACATGTTCTTGGAGCGAAGGCAGTGTACTCATAGCATTGAGCCGCTATCTTGAGACAGTGTCTCAGCCAGACATGCTCTGAGGCTGTTTCGAATACACCACATGAGGTTCCTTAGAGGCCTCCCAAGATTGGGTCCGAGTAGATGGGGTCGGAGGATCACGCCGCTTCACCGATGCATCCGCGACGTCGGCGTGGAGCAAATCGGTCTCCACACCGAGCCGCATCGCCGATGCATCGGCGATGCGGTACGATCCTCCGACCCCATCTACCCTGGCCCAATTAGGGAGGCCTGGACTCCAGGAGGCCCAGAGGAGAACAAGCAACAACTGGGGAGGTCTGCCACGGTCTCGACCGGATCCCCCCCTGGGATCCGATGTCGCGGAACAGAAATCGGGGGACAAACTAGACTGGGACCCTGGGCCCCATCTTTCTGTTGCATTCTGCGAGCTGGATCGATCTGTGAGGGCTCCGGGGCCTGAACCAAAACAAAATCGCCCGCTGCGAGAAATTATCCTGGCGAAGGTCCCAACCATTTGCAGTTGTGGGTACCGTAATTGTGAATACCTGCTTCGGTGAAGCTCCCTATAGGGCCACGAAGCGCTGCACTGGGCGGGGGGGAACGCTGTACTGTGTGGGTGGTGTGCCGAATTGGGTTTCCGGGACGCATGCGGACTGTCCCACTAAGGGCTTCGGTAAAGCTCCCTCTAAGGCCACGACGCGCTCTACTGAGTGAGTGAAAATGCCAAATTAAATTACCGGGACGCATGCGGACGGTAGCATTGAGACCTTCGGTGGAGCTCCCTATGGGGCCACGAAGCGCTGTACTGGGTGTGCGGAACGCATGCGGACGGTAGCACTGGGACCTTCGGTGGAGCTCCCTATGGGGCCACGAAGCGCTATACTGGGTGTGCGGGACGCATGCGGACGGTAGCACTGGGACCTTCATTGGAGCTCCCTATGGGGCCACGAAACGCTGTACTGGGTGGGTGAAACGCAGGGAGGAGGGGGAGGAGGGCCACGAAACGCTGTACTGGGTGTGCGGGACGCATGCGGACGGTAGCACTGGGACCTTCGGTGGAGCTCCCTATGGGGCCACGAAACGCTGTACTGGGTGTGCGGGACGCATGCGGACGGTAGGGAGGAGGGGGGGGGCACGAGAGGAGGAGAACGCGGGGACCGTCTCTTCAAAACGAGGACCCAACACCACAAGATGGTTGGGAAAAAACGCAAAGCCGAGATCTCTGGGCCATCCGAAATTCGAGGGCGACGAAATCTCTACGTATCCTGACCCCAGCAGCGGTGTATACGCCACAACTCACTGACTTGACTGGGAGGGCGTATGCACAGCTCCCGGGCGCAGGATAGGCCTGGCCAGGGAGCAGTGGATATGTATAGATTTCGTCGCCCCAACCCACTCCCCACTTCCCTCCTCCTCCCCCTCCTCCCCCTCCTACTCCTCCTCCTCCTCCTCCTCCTCCTCCTCCTCCTCCTCCTCCTCCTACTCCTCCTACTCCTCCTCCTCCTCCTCCTCCTCCAACTCTGGGAGATCCGGGGTGCGTCATATCGGCGGCGCGGCAGGGGGAGCGGGGGAGGCTCCTTAGAAGGAGGCTGCTTATTAGGGGGCGCCAGCCTTACATCTACTGACGAGGCCCGCGCCTTCTAAAAAGAACGGGTGCTTCTGAAAAGCCTCCCGCCCTCCCACGCCGCCCTCCGCGCATGGCCGAACTCTGGGATACTGCTTTGTTTTTGGGGAGGGAAAGTGGGGCGAGAAGCCGCCCGAGAGCTGCCCCCCAAAGAGAATCCTGCGGCGCTTCGGCGCGGGCCCGGCCAGGCCCGCCGCCTCGAGCTCGCGCGCCGCCAGGCCGCCGACGTCCGCGGCGTCCTCGCCCGCAAAGGGGTCCGCCTCGCCGCGGCGGGCATGGGACGCAAAGGGCACACTAGTAATACAAAGACCGTTGTTTTTTCTTTCCCTGATAACGGTCGTTACCCGGGGGAGGGGGAAAGGTTCAGGCGGGAGGGTAATGGTAACGGCGGCCGCGGCGTGCACCCGCCAGGGTGCGTCCGCGCCACCGGCGCATCAATCGCCTGTGCGCACCACAACATATATGGGGGGGTCCAAGCCCCCCCCCAGTACCCTCGTTAGCGTTACCCGGGTGGGGAGGGGGGGGGCCCAGGTAACAAGCGTTGCCCTGGGGAGGAACAAAAAAACGCGCCCACACCACTGCTGGGACCCCACACAAGACGTACGCGCACAACCACGTACATGAATACGCCCCCCCAGTCCGCGAGACCAGCCTCGTGATACGAGCGTTCGCGCAATGCGTAATTTCGAAATCAACGTGGATTCATGTACGTACGTCCTTCTTTCGCACACAAGACGTACGCTACGAATACGAAAGTTCCACGATTACAAAGGCTCCATGGAAACGCCCAGGGTCCAGTCCAGACAGTCCCACTGGGGCCGTCGGTGGGGCTCCCTATGGGGCCACGAAGCGCTGTACTGGGTTTGCGGCACGCATGCGGACCGTAGAACTGGGACCTTCGGTGGAGCTCCCTATGTGGCCACGAAGCGCTATACTGGTGTGCGGGACGCATGCGGACGGTAGCACTGGGACCTTCGGTTGGGCGCCTTGTGGGGCCACGAAACGTTGTATTGGGCGGGTGAAACGCATGGAGAAGGGAGGAGGGGGCCACGAAACGCTGTACTGGGTGTGCGGGGCACATGGGAACCGGTTCACTGGGACCTTCGGTGGGGCTCCCTATGGGGCCACGAAGCGATGTATTGGGTGGGTGAAACGCAGGGAGGAAAGGGAGGAAAGGGCCACGAAACGCTGTACTGGGTGTGCGGGACGCATGCGGACCGTAGCACTGGGACCTTCGGTGGAGCTCCCTATGGGGACACGAAACGCTATACTGGTGTGCCGGACGCATGCGGACCATAGCACTGGGACCTTCGGTTGGGCGCCTTATGGGGACACGAAGCGATGTACTGGGTGGTTAAAGCGCAGGGAGGAGAGAGGAGGGGGCCACGAAACGCTGTACTGGCTGTGCGGGACACATGTGGACGGTAGCACTTGGACCTTCGGTGGGGCTCCCTATGGGGCCATGAAGCGCTGTATTGGGTGGGTGAAACGCAAGGAAGAGGTAGGTGAGGGCCACGAATCGCTGTACGGGGTGTGCAGGACGCATGCGGACGGTAGCACTGAGACCTTCGGTGGGGCTCCCCATGGGGCCACGAGGCGATGTACTGGGTGGGTGGATCGCAGGGAGGATGGAGGAGGGGGCCACGAAACGCTGTACTGGGTTTGCGGGACGCATGCGGACGGTAGCACTGGGACCTTCGGTGGGGCGTCTCCATGGGGCCACGAGGCGCTCGCTGTACCGGGTGGGTGAAACGCAGGGAGGAGGGTGGAGGGGGAGGGATGAGGGAGGAGGTGGGCAGGAGAGGAGAAGTGCGCGGGGCACCGTCTCTTCAAAACGAGGACCCAAAACAGGATGATGGGGAACAATATCCCCTTGGTGCTACGGCCATTCGCAGCAGCTCGTCTTTGACAGGACCTGCACCATGCCTGAATGAAGGTTGTATTCTTGTGCCGCCGCCCTTCACGCACGTACCCTGGTCCCCTCTCTGCGCCTTAGGCAGCAACTCGGGCTCCTCATTCACCACTGTTGGTGCGCGCTTCTGCGCAGCTGTAGCGCTCCTAGGTGCTTGCCGTTGCTTCTCTCTGCCTATCCCAATCGCCTCTCTTTCCTGTTCTGCGTATGAGCTTCGACGTTCCTGCTCGTCGCCGACAGACCGACCGACCGACCGACCGACCGACCGAGGAGGAGGAGCACTACCCTCGAGCCCCCCGCGGCCAGACGATGTTATTTTGCGCAGGCGGGGCGAGGCGGCGAGCCCAACAGAGTGCGGGGCCAGCGACTGTGCAGTGGCGAGGCCGACACCAGCCGAGACAGGATGACAAGGTTAAAACGTGCTCCGTGCCAGAACGGGTTAAAAGAGTAGGAAAGGAGAGGAGGAGACAGGGGTAGGATGGTGGGAGCTCGAGCAAGGACGGCGGCAGACAAAGGTCGCCGTGCGGCCGCTCTCCTCTCGCTCATTGCTTCCCGTTCTGAAAACTGCACAGCACTACCCTCGAGCCCCCCGCGGCCAGACGATGTTATTTTGCGCAGGCGGGGCGGCGGCGAGCCCAACAGAGTGCGGGGCCAGCGACTGTGCAGTGGCGAGGCCGACACCAGCCGAGACAGGATGACAAGGTTAAAACGTGCTCCCGAAGCGCGCGGGTTCTCAAGAAATACAAGGCAGTCGACTGCAAGGGCGGCCTGCACGATCCTCATGCTGGCCTTGAAAGTGGCGCTTCCTACTCCAGGCGGGCTAGCTCGGCATCCGATAGCTGTGGCAAACCCCAAGGATGTTCCGCGGATCTGAGGGGCTTCCGAAGGGCTCTGCTGAAAGTAATACAAGGAGTGCCCAACCAAATGCCAATAACGGCCCGAGACCGAATCCAGCCCTCCAAGATCTTCAGGACACAAGGTCGTGTGACGTCCCCCCAAGAGCTTCTCAAGATATCCAGAGAAACAGTCCCATACCCTTGCTTGCGTAGACTCTCTGAAATACGCCCACAGCCCGAGAAAATATCCAAGAATACGCAGCGTGTGAACTTACTGGCCTTCCGTCGCTCTCGCTGAAAGAGCTGATGTAGGCAAGAACAGGCCTCGGCATCCGAACAGCTCATAGACTTCGCTGGCGCCGAAGGGGCGGCGCCTCGCCGTCACGGGTTGCGCCCGCGGCCTCGAGGCTGCGCTTGATCTCCAGAGGCACCTTCGACCAGATCCTCCGATCGCGAAGCTGAGTCTGGAGGGCCAGCGAGAAATTGTCCAGCACGGCCTGGCCGAAGGTGTACACTGCTGGCGGGACCTTGGCCATCTCCATGAGCAGCCTCGTCTCCTTGCCGCAGCGGCGGAGGCTGCGCTGGCCCCGCCGCTGGCCGCGGCGCTCCACCTCCGCGAGGGTGCGCCGCTTTGTCGCGAGGTCGCCCGAGGCTCCTCCGCGCCGCAGGCTGTAGAAGTGCGGCTTGAGCGGCAGCAGCCCCAGGATCCGCACGCAGCGGTTGAACTCCCGGCGCAGCGAGGCGGGCGTGAAGTCCCACAGGTTGCTCTGGCCGTCGGTGGCCTCCTTCAGCGCGCTCAGAGCGTTCAGCAGCCAAGCGTCCAGATCGATAGTCACCGACCCGTCCCACTCGCCTGTCTTGCCGGCCTCTCCGCCCGAGTCGTTGACGAGGACCCCCCAATGCACGTGCTGCGGGCCGGCCGAAGGACATGGCCTCACCAGGTGGGCCGCGCCGAGCCTGAAGGCCTCCTTGGGGCGCAGGTACGTGACAAACGTCAGAGCAATCCAGATGGCCAGGCGAGGCTGGCCGAAGAAGCTCAGGGCCCCCGCGATGGCGAGCGCCGCCACCTTTGGCAGGGGCAGGCGCTGGGAGCCCGGAGCCCTCCTCGTCCTCGTCCTCGTCCTCCGCCAAGTCGCCCATCGGGCCGGGCGGGCTGCCCTTCCATCCATGCCTGGAGGGCGTAATTTAGACGGGCTGGAGACAAGGGAGGGGAGGGCCCGATCAAGAGGTGATGGGAGAGTGTGGAGGAGAGGGAGGGGAGAACCCGCACCTTAAATCAATAACATGATCGGGGCCGTGCGACGGGGGTGTGAGCCGGGACAAGCGCACCGTAATGTGTGTATACGACACAAGGAACAGTGGCCGTGTGACAGGGCCGAGAGCACGACAGTGCTCACCGCAGTGAATGTGTCGAGGGATCGCGGCAGTGTGACAAGGGTGAAAACGCGACACTCTGCACCGTAATGGTTGTATGTTGTACAAGGGGCCGCGCGGCCACGCACTGACCCGGCCCCGGCCCAAGGCACGGGGGCACCGCGGCTCTGGTGATATACCCGGGACCACTGACCGGGAACCGCACGACCACCGCACTACGCTGGGTAGAGCCCACTGACCGGGACCGCACGGCCACGCACTGTACAAGGGGCCACAACGTCGACTCGACCCGGCCCCCGCTACACGACACGATCCCACTACTCGACCTGAATACCTGAATAGAGGGGGGCGCGGGGGGAGGGGCAGGGAGGGGGAGGGAGATGAGAGACACACATGAGATTCCTGGGATCGGAGCAGGCCTGCCCGCACACGTCCGCGCAACTCACGAGACAGCAAATATCGAGGTACGTCTCACGTGCAGGCCGGCACCTAATTCCCGACGTCTCCTTAGAATTCGTCAAGGAACAACAAATAAAAGAGCTCTCTCCAGGAAGTCTCAAACAATGCTGAATTAACCGCAACGATGGAGGGGGGAAGGGCGAGGGAGAGGGAAAGACGAAACAAAGCTCTCCTGCAAAGTGTAGAGTCAAACGATCCCATCGCGTGGTTGCGCCGCCGGGGGTGCCATGACGTCCCCTTATGCCGGCGCGGCAGAAGGGCCCGCTCGCGGGCCCTGGGGGCGGCTCAGGCCCCGGGGGCAGCCGGCGCCATAGGGCCGGCCCCACCCACCACAGGGCGCGGGCACCGCCGGTGGCGGCCTCGAGGGCCCCGCCGAAGCGGCCAGGAGCAGCCGCCCCCGGTGCAGCTGGCCAGCCCCGCTGTGGCCTGCGGGGCCGGCGCCGGTGGCTCCGCTTTGGCCTGCGGTACCGGGGGCGGCGCAGGCGGCGCACCGTTCCCGTCAGCGCCGCCGTCCCTGCCGCCCTTGCGGCCGCCCTTGCCTCCCTTGCGGCCGCCCTTGCCGCCGCCCTTGCCGCCGCTCTTGTCCCCCTTGCTGCCCGAGCTCTTGCCGCCCCCCCTGCCGCCCTTGCCGCGGCCCTTGTTGCCCTTGCCGCGGCCCTTGGCCTGCCTCCGGGCCTCC